GGAGGCTGATAATTTTTAAACAGATCTACGAATTAGCAACTTTCCTTCTGGAAAACAAATAAAATAGGTTTTTTCTTGTTATTACTAATGTTTTTTTGGTATTAAATAAAGTTCTGAATTGTTTAAGCATATAAATTTTTTCATCTGTTAAACCCATATCGGTTAAACCACTGTGCATGTCTTTATCTCTTTATTTTCCTACTATCATTTAGTAGTATTTTGTTACTGAGGAATGTTCTTGTTTGGAGATCTCTCTTTATTTCCTATTATCTCTTTATTTTCCTACTATCATTTAGTAGTATTTTGTTACTGAGGAATGTTCTTGTTTGGAGAGACGAAATTATTGAATGTTCATTTTCCGTACTTTCATTTATTCAGATTTCTTTCTTTGTTTCAATTTGGTTGTTTTTATAAAAACAAACCGCCTTTTGTGACCAACTTGGTCATCTTTCAAAATTATCTTGTACAATATATAAACCAAGTAACCAAGCCGAATACACATCACAACTGGGTTCAAATATTCTAAAGTGAAAACATAAAGTATATGTGTAAAAGCTGTTGATAAAACTTAAATTTCAATTTTGAAAAATGGGTAGGTAAAAAGGGGAGAACAAAAATATATGTGAAAAAAAACCAATAAATACACTCCCAAATATTCTACTATTATAATATCTCCTTCTTGAAGGATTTTTTTTTTCTTCATTTCTGAAGAGGGTGGCACAATGGTCACAGCCTCAAGTGGCCTCATTCTGGAAAGTCAAGCGTATAGCTGACCATGACTAAATATAGATTTTGTCAAATCCAGTACAATCTTTTCAAAAGTTTGTTCTTGGATTTTGTAAATCGTCATATCCTGGATGGCAAAAATTACATGATTCAGTCATAGTTCCACAGAGGAATTCAGTAACGTTTTTAAATTCCTGTATTTAAGTTTTATTTCTATAAAATTACAAATTTATTCTTAATAAATACTTAAGGTGCAATTAGCCTATCGATAGCGGTCACCTGAAATGCCGAAAATTCTCTGGTGGAGTGAAAACCTTTTTCTTAATGGCAGGCAAAACATATCTCGGACTCAGCAGTCGACTCGTCTTCTCTGTTTGTTATCGACTAGTCAACGGTTTATTCGTCAGACGAGAAAAGANTAACGAGGACCAATACCGCACACTCTCGGTCTCTACGCAGACTAATCCAAGTGGTCACCCACCCGCACACTGACCGCAACCAGTGATGCTTGACTTCGGTGATCTGCTGGGAACCGTGTCTTAATGATCAGTCCATTGCGGGACAAAAAAACACACTTTAAGTCATCCTTGCTGGAATTTGAACCCGGTATCTTTGGATTAGAAGTCCAACACGCTATCCACTGCGCTACAAGGACCTGTAAAGTACTATCTGAGAGATTTTACAAATACGGAAATATTTAAACTATGTTATTTTCTAAAAATAAATTGTGAAAAATTTGAAAAAAAGAATCACTGAAAATTTATATAACGTTAGCAGAGCTTACAAGTACTTATTTTATTTTATTTTGGTATATTCTTTAAGTTGCAGTTTATCGCGTGAATATTGTATTAATTTGTTTTATGCAATTCGTTATGTCTCATTCCTTTCGTTATAATTCTCCTTTAGGTAGTATTTTCTGACAAACTAAATCAAATTTCCACCAATAAGCAGAGCTTTCTAATTACGAGGTAGATAAAAAAAATAATGAATTTTATTTACACAAATATTTTTTGTAAATTCATACAAACATGTGAAAATATAACCAAAATATCACTAGTATTAATTTTATATCTTCATAATAAAACTTTCGAATGTTACGCAACCAGTCAATCGGAGTCAAAGATTTTGAAAAAAAAAAAAGAAAAGTGTGGCTCTAATAAAAAAATCCAAGGTTTTTTTTGGACAAAAAGTACTTTAAATCTCCTTTTTCTTTCCTGATTTGAGCTCAGATGCTTAGACAATTTTGGTATTTAGAAAAATTGTATTCTTTTACATCGATCAATTATAAACAAAAATGGAATCAGCGTAATAAGTATTTCTAATCACATGTTTTAATTATGTTTCATTATTAAGAAGGACATAAATAATAATGGAATACTCACTTCATATTTAAACACTTTGCCAATTTGAGGAAGAGTTTTACAATAAATGACATCATCTTTGCTTTCAATTGTCCAACCTGGACTATTCTTTTTTCTTTCGGATTCTGTTATAGCTTTCATAAATGCTTTTCTTCTTCTTTAAGAAAATATATTAAATCAATAATATAACTGCACTTTTTATTGAAATTTTTTTGCACTTAATAATAAACATATTTTCCCGTTTATGATAAAAAATTCCAGGAAATCCCTTCCATAAAAAGGAAATAAATTTTGTCGTAAAAGGAAATCCCCTTTTATGAATATGGTTTAGGGCAGGGGTGTCAAACTCAAAAGCTAACTCTGGCCAAATAAACAATGCTTAACTTTAGGTGGGCCGAAAAAAAAAACATCAATGTTTATAGAAACAAATATTTTATTTTGAATAATACATTGTAATAAACATATATAAAGTTAAATTATTGTTTGATACTTGACATCTACTCTCTGCTACTACCTTTGCTATTTCGGGAGAAATTTTATTGCCCGTGACTACTTTCAAAATTGACCCAACGTCAGCGTTATTAATACGGTTTCGAACAGGAGATTTATTTCCATTCATTACAGAAAATAATTGCTCGCACTGAATAA